TTTCAGAGCAAAGGTTAAACTGCCCATTGATGAGGACTAAATCTGTTTATGGGGGTTCATAATTTTCTACTTCAGTATTTAATATGAAGGGTTATAAAACTCGTGATGTAGCCTAAATCTCTACCTACTCTAGACCACAGGAAGTTTCATCACATTTCTTGAATATTCATAAGTTGAAGCTATACTATTGTCCATGTTGATATAAATATCAAAATGTCTACCTACTCTAGACCACAGGAAGTATTTTCACATTACAATTTGATTGGTAAGCCTTCATGTCACAGTGTTTGCTATTGTTGCCTTCCTTTTTCACTTCTTTCAAATTTTCTTTGTTATTGTAGCTTTTCTTTATTTGTTCTGTATTGATCAGATTCATGAACATTAACATCGAGAAAATCCAATAAGCTCCTAGAACGAGAGTACGGCTTTTGGCTGTTCTGTAAGAGCGCATGCGTTGATGGAAGAAACCTTCACGCCTTTCTCAGCCTTTTTCTTGATCCTATTGTTTTTGTTGTTTATGTTATGACAAACATAAAAATTCGCTCCAGTTCCGAACTCCGTTTACTCATTCTATTTTTATTTATTTGTTTATAAATACGTAATTCTGAAGTGAATAAATTATGTATGCTCGTCCAATGAATTTATAGTATCCGTGTCCTGGGAAGTCGTGGCCCAGTAGTTAGTGTGCCGGACTGTGAGTCTATGTTTACATCTCGTTACTGTAAGTAGGTTCTGGGTAGCTTTTCGCTAAATCAGAAAATCCCGATTCTTTACTTTTGATTGTATGACAACTTTTCGGTGGTCACAGACCGACCGTAATTCCAATGTTTTTAATTGTATACCTATATTAACGTTGTGTGTTATTTATTATTTTAACATTCTAATTTATTTTTATATATTTGGGCCACATCAGACACGACTGTGAGGAGACAATCAGAACTTATCTGAAATTCATTAACAGGGTTGTTTCTAAGTAAATCTCATTCGTAATGGATGTCATAAAAATGTCTAATTAAACGTTTAATTAAAAAAATTTTGTTTATTAATATTAACTCGGTCAGTGGCTCAGCGGTAAGTTTGGAGGCCTATAACGCTTTGATCCGGGTTTCGATACCCGACTTGGGCATAGTACGTATAGCCCATTGTGTGACTTTTCCTTTAACAACATACAAACAATACTATTAACCGTCTGTCGTCCACATCATGAAAATTCGCTGAAAAATGTTTTATATATAGCCACACTGTTGTATTAGTATGTGTGGAGCCACACTGTTGTATTATTATCGTGTGGAGCCACACTGTTGTATAAGTATGTGTGGAGCCATACTGTTGTATTAGTATGTGTGGAGCCACACTGTTGTATTAGTATGTGTGGAGCCATACTGTTGTATTAGTATGTGTGGAGCCACACTGTTGTATTAGTATGTGTGGAGCCACACTGTTGTATAAGTATGTGTGGAGCCACACTGTTGTATTAGTATGTGTGGAGCCATACTGTTGTATTAGTATGTGTGGAGCCATACTGTTGTATTACTATCTGTGGAACCACACAGTTGTATTAGTATGTGTGGAGCCATACTGTGTGAAACTAACAGCGAGAATGAAAAAATCACGAAATTTTTCCATTTTATTAACAACGAAAATCACAAACACTCGATTGTGTACAACCGTTCACAACGTACTGGTTTAATTATTCTACAAAGTGTTCACAACGTACTGATTCTATAGGGAGTGTTTAATTATTCTACAAAGTGTTCACAACGTACTGATTCTATAGGGAGTGTTTAATTATTCTACAAAGTGTTCACAACGTACTGATTCTATAGGGAGTGTTTAATTATTCTACAAAGTGTTCACAACGTGTAAAATGAATACAAAGTTATTTAATTAACTTGTTTTACTTATATTGGTAAAATATTGATTAAAAACAACTTAAAATAATACCTGTATTACGTCGTACATAATATCGTTAATTAAATATAATGCATTCAGAGGAAATGAAATAATATTGAATTTCGTTACATAAAACTTGTTAATATTCAGTATTTTCCAATAGCAGTTTTGAACTATAATAATAATAATAAGACAATGTGTGTTGGTTGGCAAGGGGCCCGATCCAGATTATATATTATTAATACTATTACGTCCGAAACGTAAGGTTGTTCATGAATTTCAGATACTATTTGTTTATTTATTTATTAATTAATACTGCCTGTTGGCATCGTACGAGAATGGTTAATTCTAGGGTTACACGTAACCATATTACTAACCTTCTGCTGTTGGTGAGAATAGTTGGAAAATCTGAACATTACATGGTTCAAACACACTGAAACCTTCATATGGCTTTTTATAAAGTGAGTCGAAGGCTTTCCGGGTGAAATCGTGGTTTTATAAAGTGAGTCGAAGGCTTTCCGAGTGAAATCGTGGTTTTATAAAGTGAGTCGAAGGCTTTCCGAGTGAAATCGTGGTTTTATAAAGTGAGTCGAAGGCTTTCTGGGTGAAATCGTGGTTTTATAAAGTGAGTCGAAGGCCAGTTTTTATGTCGATTTTTAGATGTAACTTTGTCGTTTAGAGAAACTTTATGTGTAATGTTATAATGATACCGTGAAACATTTGGTATTGAACATCTTACAGTATCACTTAATATCACATGCAAATATGGACGACTTATTGCATTCTTAGAATCCCAAAGTTGAAAACATTCTGTCTGGAGCAAAACTAGAATCCCAAAGTTGAAAACATTCTGTCTGGAGGAAAACTAGAATCCCAAAGTTGAAAACATTCTGTCTGGAGCAAAACTAGAATCCCAAAGTTGAAAACATTCCACCTGGAAGAAACCTAGAATCCCGAAGTTGAAAACATTCCACCTGGAAGAAACCTAGAATCCCACGGTTGAAAACATTCCGTCTGGAGCAAACCTAGAATCCCAAAGTTTAAAACATTCCGTCTAGAGGAAACCTAGAATCCCACAGTTGAAAACATTCCACCTGGAAGAAACCTAGAATCCTAAAGTTGAAAAGATTCCACCTGGAAGAAACCTAGAATCCAACAGTTGAAAACATTCCGCCTGGAGGAAACCTAGAATCCTAAAGTTGAAAACATTCCATCTGGAAGAAACCTAGAATCCAACAGTTGAAAACATTCCATCTAGAGTAAGTTTAGAATCCCACAGTTGAAAATATTCCATCTGGAGCAAATCTAGAATCCCACAGTTGAAAACAGTGAGACTATTCTAAATGTTTACCTTAATAATCATGAACGATCCCAAACTCCAGCCGTTGAAGCTATCTGTTGACAGATTGATTGAAATTCTTTTCAGATTTCGTACGTTTCGTTACCACTAACCCTAAATTGGGGGTTTAATTATTATTATATATCGTATTAAGTTTAATTATCGAGTAATTTATAACCTCGGTGTTCCTCAGGGGGTTTGTGTTTAATCGTGTAAAAACATCTTGAAGTAAACAGTAATTTATAACCTCGGTGTTCCTCAGGGGGTTTGTGTTTAATCGTGTAAAAACATCTTGAAGTAAACAGTAATTTATAACCTCGGTGTTCCTCAGGGGGTTTGTGTTTAATCGTGTAAAAACATCTTGAAGTAAACAGTAATTTAAATAGGAGATTTTTCCCAGAAAATATGGCACTGGACTGAATATAAAAAGTTGTTAGCAGCACCAAGTATTTAAATCATTCAATAGACGGAGTGTTAATACAGATCATATTTTGAAGCCCTTTGTACTTATCCATTATTCTGGATTGTAACATGGCGTACGAGTAGAAAGTAGGACAAATTAACAGACTCAGACGAGCGAGCTTCAGTTGTCAGCTGTTGTATCGTAAGCCAGTCGTATCTCAGATAAAATCGTACGCTTAAGTGATTTTAATGAAACTTCGTTATTGTTCACTGACCAAGGAAAATCCCATTAAAAGTGTGGCGAGACAAGGTACGTGAGCAATAAGTCAACAACATTAAATATGACTGGTTTGATTTATGATGTGAAATGGAAAAATAATATATATATTTTTTTTATCATTTGTGATACTAAGCAGCACGGTTCCACTCTGGGATTTTGTATCATAACCTTTTAGTTTGAGATTATTCCGTGAATCGCAAAGTTTAAAGTTGTTGTATTTGTGAAAAGTAGCAAGCCTTTAAAAATATTCTTAAGGCATTCTCTATTGGTCTAGTGATTGTGTAAACATTGTTAAGTGACTCTCTATTGGTCTAGTGACTGTGTAAACATTGTTAAGTGACTCTCTATTGGTTTTCATACTGTGTAAATATTGTTAAGCCTCTCTCTATTGGTCTTCATACTGTATAAACATTGTTAAGCCTCTCTCTATTGGTCTTCATACTGTATAAACATTGTTAAGTCAATCTCTATTGGTCTTCATACTGTATAAACATTGTTAAGTCAATCTCTATTGGTCTTCATACTGTATAAACATTGTTAAGTCAATCTCTATTGGTCTTCATACTGTATAAACATTGTTAAGTCAATCTCTATTGGTCTTCATACTGTATAAACATTGTTAAGTCTCTCTCTATTGGTTTTCATACTGTATAAACATTGTTAAGTCTCTCTCTATTGGTCTTCATACTGTATAAACATTGTTAAGCCTCTCTCTATTGGTCTAGCAACTGTGTAAACATTCACGAGCTTAATAGATGAATAAATGTTATCGATCTTTCATGACACTAAGGAAATAATAATTAATTACACTTCGGATTATTTTTTACACAAACTATTTTTCATGAAATTGGAAAATACCACATGTAAGTGAAATAAAGACCGATTGTAACCATGTGGTTACCCTGGACACCAGGAGGTATACCAACACCATGTGGTTACACCAGGAGGTATACCAACACCATGTGGTTACACCAGGAGGTATACCAACTCCATGTGGTTACCCTGGACACCAGGAGGTATACCAACACCATGTGGTTACACCAGGAGGTATACCAACACCATGTTTACACCAGGAGGTATTCCAACACCAAGGTTTAACAGGAAATATACCAACACCATCTTTAACACAGACCTTCATGTGGTTACCCTAGACATTAGGAGGTATACCAACACTATGTTTAACACAGACCTTCAGGTGGTTACCCTGGACACCAGGAGGTATACCAACACTATGTTTAACAC